TGAAAAAAAAAAAAGTTTTGGGTCAAAATTGAATAATTTGTGAAATTTAAGGTCAAATTGAGGTTAAATAAAGTTAAGGATGAAAATTGAGCATATTAAAGTATGAGGGATTATTTTAGTCTTTTACAAAAATTTGGATCATGTATGGACTTATTGGTAAAAGAGTTTTTTGTCTGGATCTTTTTATGAATAAATACCCATTGATAGACTTATTTGTAATGACCCTTATTATTTAATGTATAAATTAATAAGTATCAATTTATCGATGAGTTTATATTTCGCTAAATTAATAGGACTTTGATGATCCCAACTATATTAATTTATGGGCCCATTAGATATACACCCCTCATATGGAAAATATATAGGGATAGGTCCACCCCTAAAAATCTTCCTTTGAGATACCCCTGGAGAGGCAAAAGTACTATTGTGCCCTTATTTGTTATTTTCGCCCAATTGTATTCAACATTTTCACCTACTGCATTTATCATTTTGGACCTGCATTTCGTATTTTGTACTGCATATATCATCATTTTTATTTTTAATTATTTTTTTATTACTGTGTATATATATTGTACCTTTTTTATTATCATTGTATTTTTTTATAAAATAACTTTTTCAATATTTTGATTTTTTTAATTTTTCGATTTTTTTAATTTTTCCGATTTTTTTAATTTTTTTTAATTTTTTTTTTAATTTTTTTTTTTATAAATTCAAATTTTGGTAAAATTACTGAACTAAAAGTATATACTACACATGACTACAGTTTACTACAAGTTCAATAGTCATGTATATATATAGTCATGTACTGTCTTTTTACCCCAAAATTCATATACACCAACAAAAAAAATTCATAATTTATCTTGATATTATAAATCAACTAACAAACAAACAAAAAAAAATACAATCACATGCATATATTCTTCATACATGAACAACTATTACTGTACATTAAAAACCTATAGCATACATATAACTGTATGTTACTACAAGTGACTATAGTTATTTACAATTACCTGTAGTTATATATAGTGGCATAAAGTCTAGACTACTGTAGCATGAATCCAACTTGACAAAGGCACTTCATCGAATCTTATTATCTGCATGTCATAAAATTATAATAAAAGCAAAACATGCGACAAAAAAATACGAGTTAAATAGCAAAATGGAAAATGCGAGTTAGATTACATGAAAAATACAAAAAAAAAACACAATTTTTTTTTTTTTGATAGATTTACTGAACTGAAATCGACTACAAATGACTATAGTATATACAAGTCTTATAGTCATGTATAGTTATATGTAGTCATGACTATACATGGCTACATATGACTGTATATGACTAAATATAATTGTATTATCAGCTGACTCAAATCACCAATGTAAGTTGAAACACGTGGATTATTTCCACATTGTGTTTTTAACTTTCTTATTTTTTAAAACTAAATTTTAGTTATGGAATAAGTAGTGCTTAGTGGGTTAAGTATAGTGCTTAGTGGGTTAAGTATAGTGCTTAGTGGGCTAAGTAGTGCTTAGTGGATTTTATTGTGGATTTTATTCTAACTTTCTAACTAACCCACTAACCCATTTTCTTGAGTGCTCTTGTGGTTGGTTTTCTTGCAGATCATGGGCTGAGGAGTGGAAGCTTGAAATGTCTATAAATACCGATTTCAATACTCAATGAATTTTATCGATTCTACGAAGTAAAAAACCGAGAGCTGAAGAGAATACACGAGTGTTTTAGAGTGGTTTTAGAATCGGTCATTTGTACTCTTCATGAGTATAATCTTTACGTACTCCTTATGAGTACATTCTTTACGTACTTCTCATAAGTACATTCTTTGTAGTCTAGATTGTTTAGTATATATGTTTCTAGACTTGGTTGTAAGAATGATCAAGATAGTGATTCATTCATAAGTTCTTTACGTACTCCTCACGAGTACATCTTTGAAATCTAGAATTTTTAATATTTTTCTTTTTGTATCTAGATTTGAATGTAAGAATGATCATGAGAATGATTCATTCATAAGGAAGAAGTTTTCGCACCTCTTCTGTTTGTATTCTTGGAATACTGATTTTAATATATTTTTCCGTCCTGTAAAGGGCAAGTTCACAAGTCTTTACTTGTGAACATTTTTAATTCTGAGTATTGTTCTTTTATCTTTATATTTCCGCTGCATGTTTTCTCAAGTGTCATAACACTTCAGATAACATCTCTGTATTAAACGAATTCGGGACCATAAATTCTTTCATAAGTAATCACAACTAGTTAAATTTATATTACAGACAAACAAAGTTCTCACACTTTAGGCATTTCGAATCATCTTTAAATAAATACAAAAAATAAATTACATACGATTTATAATAAAAAATCAAATTACATGAAAAATACAAAAAAACATGATTTTTTTTTTTTTATAAATTTACTGAACTGAAATCGAGTATAAATGACTATAGTATACCACAAGTCCTATAGTCATGTATAGTAGTTATATGTAGTAGTGACTATACATGACTACATGTGACTGACTATATATGACTGTATATGACTAAATATAATTTTATATTCACCTGACTCAAATCACTCATGTAAGTAACCACTACTGGTTAAATTTCCATTACAGACAAATAAAACTCTCACACTTTAGGCATTTCGAATCATCTTCAAATAAATTATAATATGATTTATAATAAAAAAATCAAATTAATCCAAAGAAAAATATTTAAATATTAATTGTTCACAGATCTTCAAAAACATAGTAGATCAGTGTTTTTTTTTATATAAATGCAGTAAATATATACAAATCGAACACCACCAATTCCAGATCTGAAATTTTAGATCTGACTACACATCGTCGGATCACAATTAAAAATTTTGAATTTAATTGATTTTCATAAAAAGAAACAATAAAATAAGGTGAAATAGTTAAGAGAATTCAGATCTTAAAAAATAAATTAAAAATGGATGGACATTCATAAATTAAAAAAATAACTTAAAAAAGTGAAGTGAATGGTTTAGTACCGAGTTCAAGGCGGTGGGAGGAGCAACGACGGTCGGCACAAGGCCGTGGCGGAGCAGCGACGCAAGGCGGCGGCGGAGCAGCGACGGCGGCAGCACAAGGAGGTGAGGGGAGCGACGGCGGTGGCGGCGCAAGGAGGTGGGGGAGCAGCGGCGACGGCGCAAGGAGGTGAGGGGAGCAACGGCGGCAGAGAGCTGTGGGTAGAGAGAGAGTTAGAGAGAAAGAGATGAAGAGAGAGAAAGGAAGAAAGAGAAGAGAGAGAGAGAAAGAAAGAAAGAGAGTGGGGGAGTGGGGAGGGGACGGCTGATAGAAGTTGTTGGGGGGGGAAAGAAAAAAAAGCTAGGGTTTAGGGTTTTAAATTGTAATTAAAAGGGCAAAATGAGTATTTCGATTTGTCTAAGGGGTCTATCAAATTAAGATTAGAATTTGGGTTTTTGATTAGGAAAGAAAAATTTATAGGACCTATCCCTATATATTTTCAAGATTAGGGGATTATCCCACATTTCCACTTAATTTATAGATGTTTAACAATTAGATGTTGGCATGTTGCAGCTCTTCGTAGTCGTCATCTAGTAGCGCATATTAACTCTATGTAATAATTATTAATTTATAAATTTTTTCATTAAACTATTCATTTATAGATGTGTAAGCTGTAGCTTAAATGAAAATGATTAGAATTAGAAAAACAAAATCAGTAGAAAGATTCCATATGAAACCACAATATCCGACATACACATTTTTAAAAGTAGTTCCAAATGAGAGACGTAAATCCAAAATCTGAAATGATTTACGCGGCAGTAAAATTACGAATGTCGTTCACAATACATTTCCTTTCTCTCTCTAAAAACTCCCCAATTCACTCAAACCCCAAAACCACAAAAAAAACCCCAAATTTCACAAAAATCCTAAATCCTTCTCACAATCCTTCCAAATCCGAAAATCTCCTCAATTTGAAAGGTAATTACTCATCTAAACTAGTTATATATATTGAATTTGTTGTTAATTATATGAAAATCGAAGAAAAATCGCGATTTGGGGGTCAATTTTGAATAAAAACTGCGCATCTTCCACGCCCAAAATGGGAGTGTGAAAGCAGTTTTCACGCCTAAAACAGGCGTGGAAACTGCTTTCACACGCCTGTTTTGGGCGCGGAAAATTGGTTTGGGCGTTCGGTCCGGACGCCGGTTCTGGACCGGTCGTCCGGTTCAATTTTTTTTTTTATCCCTGTATAAATGACATGCTATAATATATTTAAATAATTATCAGTTAATGAACTTGCCCTGGCCTAGTTGGTCAGGCATCTCGTTTTTTCGCAGTAGACCCGTGTTCGAGTCTTTCCTGCAGCGTATATTTATTACTTTTTTGCGAAGTATAACGAAGTCTATAAATACAATTCAATAATAATTTATTATCAAAATGGCTCTAGCCTTGTTGGTTAGGTAAGCCTGTGCTTCTGAAAAAATGTCCCGTGTTCGAATCCTTGTGGCAACATAATTATGTAATTTTTTTTATTAAATCTCAGTCACAGAGCGCGCCCAAACCGGGCGCCGAAAGCTGTGTTGGGCGCCCAAATCGGGCGCAGATAACACTTTTACGCGCCCAAACCGGGCGTGAATCGGACTTTTTAGCTCCCAGTTTGGTCGTGGGTCGCGTTTTCACGATTTAAAGAACAAAAACGAACAAATTTTACCTCATTAGATTCCATATCTCGATCCTCATTCGATGCACTCATTTTTTTTTGCAAATGGCTACAGTAACATGAGTTTTGGAATGATTTCTAATATAAAAGCTAAAATTGTAGAGAGAGAAAGAAAGATAGAGAGTGGATTTTTTAAAACGACATTCGTAATTTTGCTACCGCGAATAGCACCTCCCATCCAAAATTCATTATGAAATGAATTCATCAAAACACATTCAATAGATTTACTATTATAGATTGAATTTATTTATTTTCCTTTTTAATCTAATACGGAGCCCCGAATATTTCATCCAACAATATTATGATTTTTATGCACAACGTTAGTCAAGTGTAGTTACACTGTAGTAATGTGGTCCCATATGCTAAACTAAGACTATATACACCGATTTATTTAGAGCATACACAACGACTATCTAGACTTTAGACGCTGGGCACTACGCTCCAAACTGAGTTTATGCCGTCGTAAGCCATGCCACGACTCATCTAATAAAGGCTTGTCAATCTTATTATGCAATAGATTCAGGTTCACAAGAGGTACAGTGGTTGGTCGCCCGTGAGCACACTGTAAGAACAAAAATTGGGAACATATGAATCCACTTTTAAATGAAAGAACCTCCAATTTCGTCACCGTTATCAAACTCACCTGGAAACAAAGTGATGTTCGTTTCAGTTCTTCAACAAGGAGTGAACATTCTGAAGGCAACAAAGTGTCTCCAAACATAATTGCACCTGCGCAATTTTTTTTATGAATTTAATAACCAGTTAACAATTCCTTCATTAGTCTTCCATCTTATTTATGCATATTTTTATCCTTTATGAAAAAAATTGCAACGCAGCCTATAATTTAGTTAGTATTTAAGATGATAGAATGCACCTCTGCATGATTTGCTATTCAAGATGCGATGAACGGAAGGAGGTATGACTGATGACCCATCTGTATCTGCAAGCTGCAGTATGCACAGATAATTAAAGCGATTGATGTGCAAATTAAAGAATCGTAACGATGAATTAAAAATTATTGTAGCTCAAATTCAGCTTAAATTATTTACCTGTTGAAGGAATTCTAGAAGATCAATATCAGTTAGATTAACACCCAAAATGCACGGTACCTGAAATTAATTTTGAAGATGTTGCTTTCTAGTTAAAATTGTACAAGAGAAAAAGATAATGTAGAACAAATATTGAAGAAATTCTTTGAAAGAGTTCAAGTCAAAAACTCTCGTACCAGTCAGCTTATGCTGACAGGCATTTAGTCATATAGACAGAAATCTTACAATAAGAATATTGTATAGTTCCATAAAAACGTCATATATCGATTTAATTAAAGTATATGATTTAGAGCTTAAATTTCATAGAATTAATGTAAGGGTCCATTTGGATAGAATGATTTGATTTGGGGAAGGGATTTAGAGTTATGATTTGAAATGACTCTAATTTGGAGTCATTTGAAATCCACATCAATTGCTCCATTTATAACTAAAAAGGAGGAGTGGGGATTTGAAATTCATCCCAAAATCCCTCAATCCAAACAAGTCTGAAGGATTTGTTATTATGAATTTGAAATCCCTCCTTCAAATCCTTCCATCCAAATTATATTTCTTGTTACTTGTTTAATTTTCATGAATTTCTTAGTGCTCAATGCTTTCAAAGACACTCAAAAAACTAAATTATCATATATCGTCAGGCAATAAGAAAAACACGAAGGATGTTGAACGGTCAGGTAAAATTAAAACACTGAAAGAAGTTGGAAGTTTACCGCAAGAAGTTTAACAACAGTTGGCTGCTTGTGTAGAAAATCTAAATGCCTACAAGCAAATATATAATAGGAGGGTAAGAATAGTCTATCCATGGATATCAGGAAACTATGCAACAGTATAGGCCAATGTAGCAATAAGTAATTATCGAGGACTATGGTGTGATAAGTGGTCAAAGGTTAATAATTTGTTTCCACTAGAAAAATATTCAAGTAAGACATTTGGAATATTATAACGACAAGCATGATGATTACGTTGTAAAGGAATTCATATCCTGCGAATGAATGTTGCAGATCCAACCCCAAGTCTGCATTTGTTCAGCATAATTGTGCAGTAACTGATAACCAATTTCAGGTAAGACCTGCATGAAATTTGGAAACATGAAAATTTATTAAAGAGGAACTTAGGGAAGAGAATTTGAGTTATATAAAAAATGATAATCCCCACACGAGATGAAAACTACCTACCAATTCTTGCTCTGCATCCAGATATGTGATTGTCTTCATTTCCCCAGATAACACCTGAGAGTTTCAGCGCATGAGTCAATCGCACTAAATTGCACCAGCAAAGCACTGTTAAGACAATTTTACCTTGTGACGTAATTCTTCCAGTCTAACCCTTTCATCAGCAGCATGCTGTAATGTTAAATACCATACGTTATGTCAATTCATCAAAAACTTTAAGGCCGTTTGTAAGTGCAGATGTTTATGCTCAATTTGTTCATATTTAGCAACCATTGTGTATAACTCTTTGATGCAGAGGACTTGTTGAACTGTCTAAAGGGTGTCCTAAGTAATACTCCATAAAGATAAGGGAAGGCAAGAAGATTAGGAAAGCTAGGTACTTTGGAAGCTTTCCAAACCCGAAAGAAGAACTTTTAAATTTCTTCAAGGCATTCTTAGATTTTTTACCAGATGTAAATGGAGTCTCAAATTCGCAAGTGCACGCACCCTTCTACCATCTGAACAGATAATACTTGTATACTTTGGGACACCTCATTATACCAGGATGAAGAAATGCTACATACATATTTTTTAGACTAAACATATGTTGCAAATGCAGTGTTGAGGAAAAATTAGCGCGTCTAAGAAGAGATGAGATTTTCATAAGTGGTTTCAAGAAATAGATTAACCTGATCGACCATAGCAAGTGTTTTTCCTGCCACAATTGCAATGAATTTCTTATCAACCTGATTGAGAACTATGGCGTCCTCAAGTGACGTCCTGTCGATGGATTTTGGAACCAAGGAATCACAATGCAACATGTCTGAGGAGATGTCAAGGATAACATCCTGATTTTTTATATCATCAGACACGCTTCCACCCTGCATAGTCAAATGAAGCTAATTTTACTAATATCAGAATCAAAGAACCTGTAGAAACTGTGCTAATAATTTATAATTTGACAGCTGATAAGGCACGTAACTGTCGTCGGGGAACAACAATTTCGCCATTTCCACCCAGAGTCAACTGAATCATTAATTTCCTTCAAATCAGGACCTGAAGAAATAGAATTTGATCATTGCAAAGGCATGCAACGGATATTTTTTATTTTTCTATATTTCATGCACTAATAATTCTTCATACAAAAGTGGAGGTAATTGATCCAAGAAAAGCTACAGGGATTCCAGACAAGCCAAATTCTACTTTGCAAGTAGGCATATCTTCATTAGAAGCGGAAACGAAAGAAATATTTTCTACATAAAGAAAAATCTTACTTTTAGATGATATGTCGATTAATTTCCCTTTATTTTTTGTTGCTCCATTTGGATTTGCAACAACTTCAGGTTCAGGTGTGATTTCATAACATGATCTGCAAAAAAATTAATTAGAGAAGACTTGAAATTTGATCTAATTCTTAGAAAAATGTCAAAATAATCTAGACCTTTCGGGAAATGAGCAAACCATGACTGATCTTTCAATTGGAGAAGGGTGGTATTGACCGAATGATCTCTTTGAATATTTCAAATCCCTACTTCTTCTTTCATGAAGTTCTCCTTGACTGGTACTAGTAGGTTCTGCACAGTATAGAGTTTATTATCCCTCTTATATTTTATATCATGTATCTGAGTCAATGAACAAAAGTTGGCATTGAGAGCAAACCCGCATATGATGCTACACGTGTCCTCTGGACTTCGCTTTTTGCAGACATAGTGGAAGAATAAGTCAAGTCAAAATATCTTTTCCTCCGTTTGAAAAATGGTGGAGCTGAATGGCTTCTTTTGAAGCTGTTCTTTCTGTTAGGCATAATCTCATGATTCCTACTACCAGGTCTTCCACATTCATGCTCTGCTGGATTAGTGTCATATAGTGATGGCACTGAGTAATTACTGGTACTCTTTTCACCGGACAAGTGTAAAGGTGACAAATCTGTTGCACTAGATCTTTTGAAAGGCTTAGGAGAGAACATATTTTCAACACGTCTCCCATGAAATTCACCAATTTCACTCTTATTATAAGGGGAAAAGTTCATAATGGAGGAGGTTTGCTGCAGCCAACTCTCTTTACTGTTTAAATTGAAATCTTCATTGTCTCCCTTCGCAGAATATCCGTGTCTGGTACCAAATTCAGAGCAACAGTCAACATTTTTTTTGTAAATAGCAGCATCATCATCATCACGAAATTTGATAATTTCTTCTGATGGTGTGGGAGACCATCCAGACCTGAAAGACTGCCAATTGGAAGTGCATTCCCCAGCCCTTTTAGAGGAGTGAGAGAGATTATTTCTAAACACTGACGATGACTTCACCCAATCTGTTACTGGAAGCTCTGATATTTCATGCATGTCATATTGACTCATTGGAAAGGACTGAAATGGTGATGCCCCACTGCACTGTAGATCTCTTCCACAGATGGCGAGGTCAATTTCATCTATCATGCTATTATCAGAATCGATCCACCTTTTTCGATTTCTGACATGATCAGTAGCAAACTCAAAAATTTCATCTCTTGCAGGCGATTTTATTTCATGAAGCAAGCTCCTTTCAAAGGAGCAACTTCGTAGAAATGATTTGCACGGTTCCTGGTCAATATGAATATCATCACTGAGTTCAAGACAATCAGTTGAGACCTCGCTCACTCTTGATATGTCATCTATTTTATCATCATATTCCGGTAAGATAGTCCCCAATGCTGAAGATGACATGACATACTCTTTTTCACTAAATGGATATGCGACATGAACTGGAGAGAAAACAATGCGAGGAGGAGATAGAAGGTTTCTAATCTCCTCTTTTGTTGTCACGTTGTAACCGGTAAGAGATACATCTCGTGATTGGCTCAGGTAGTCAATTTCAGATGTTAAACCTGCCTCTGTCTGGTGCTTTTTAAGCTCAGGAACTTTTCTTGAAGGCTTTCCAAATGAAGATACACACTCATACAAAGATGGCATGTTATCATAATTTTTGCATAGCTTCTTCCTTTGTGGCGAGCGAAAATCTAGAGGAGTTTGGCAGTTCTGTTTCTTGCACCTCTTTTTTCCACTTTCAAAAGTATCTGATATATCTATTTCTGAGATAAGTACAAAATTAATCGAGAAGAAAAATATAAGTAAAAGAGAATATGGCACACAATATCTACCAGTATTTTGTGGTGATGTTAGTCAGTGCCAAGTTATAAAAATTTAAGCTCCCATTGCTTCTATTTATTAATATTCCCAAGTCATACAAATCGCGGATCCTCAAAATATCCAACAGATGATAGTTGTTTATGCTAAGACTAAAATGCATATTTTAAACTTGAACTTCGTGTAAATCTAAGAGCAAAAGGGTTTTCGTTCAATCAGAGCAGGACTATGCACTAGGAGCCAGAAGAACTTGTACCAAGATCATATATTGAGATCCTACCCAGAAGTTCAATATTCCAATTAGATAACCCAAAAGGCGGTTGATATTAAAGACACGTTTATCTTAAGTGTTAAGTAGATTAACTGAAGAGTGCCCCTGGAAATTTGTGCAAACGAGATGAAAAGTGGAATTGAGTAGAACTCATGCAAGATATGTAATGATTTGACAACAAAAATCGGCACATAAATTAGGTGTGGTTAAAATGATAAACTGATAAAATGTTGAAGTAGGTATTTAGATGGTATTAAAGGTATACCTAGGAGTAGTAAACTAAGATTACATAATTATGAAAGATATGCACTTTTGTGGTTTCACTTCAGAAAACATTCCAGATGGCACTGAACGATGAAGATGATATGAGTATAATTGGTTAACCCTAAATAAGCATGGGACATGGATTTGTAGTGAGAATTGGAACAAAAAATGCCACGGCAAATTTTCTTCGAATACACCACATAAATTTATGAAAAGCTTAGAATATGTGTGAACAGATAAATCATCCATTACCATGAGAGATATTTCCTGTCCAATGACGCATGACACCATTCTCGATGAGAGTAAATACAGGACCCCAATCCTGATAAAGAAAAGTGCACCGATCATTGATATATATCAGATGTATACAATGGAAGATAAAATTGTGAATGAAAAAGAAGCAGTGGTGATAACAATTGAAAGTGATTGGCTGCAGTTTAACAAAAAAAACATGCAAGGTTGAAATAGCCTTTCCACTTAAAACTATACAATTGACTTGAAGTGCATTGCCAAGCCGATAAACAGAAAGAATTTCTAAATAAACTAGTATGTATGATGTCACAAATGTATAATGGATTGCTAATTTTATTTGCCTTCCAATGGCAGAATTGCTGGAAAACAGAAAAGCACCACTGTTTTTGCAGTTTATAAAAAGAATGATAGACATTTCATGACTATACTTGAAATTACTACCTTAAATTCCACCGAGGTCCTTGATCGGTCAGAAGTGATTATATCATAATACGATCTTGGGCAGTGAAGATTCAAAATGAATGTTGGACACGTGTCATACTTATTTCTCTTCTCGTTTTCGGAACTAGTGGCAAGCTGCCAGGAACCCAACAAATCAAATTTAGCAGCCAACTGATTCAACAGTTTATGAATTGGTCCCTTGCAGATAAATCGTGAGTTGATATCTGCATTTACAATTAAGTAATACAAAAACACTAATATATTACGTCTTCCGAATACGCTTTTAAAAATAACAGCTCTAAAGACCACCACGGACATGGATACAAACATATTGGATTGCCTGCATACAAGCAAAGAACAATCAGAGAACAGAAGCTATTTTTCATATCACATGGTCAAACACCAAATCCATGATACCATACCTTCAGAGAGAGAAATTCACGAGGATCAGAAATATATCCAGAAAGTTTCAATTCACCATCAGATAAATTCAATTTGTAGAAAGTGGTTGAATTTCCAATCCCAAAATGACTAGAAAGTATTAATAGAGGAGAAGATGATGGTCCTGTATGAAGCAGCTCATCCGTGCTGTATTATAAGGAAGAAAACATGAAAAAATAGCCTTAAAATAATTACAAGTAAGAGGACAAGAAGGAAGATTCAGTATGAAGCAGCTCCACTGCACAAGATTTCAAGGAACAGAAGGTCAAAAACAACCTCAAATAGTAAATAATTGAAGGTGAAGAAGGACGATACCTATCGACATCCAAAACTTTGAAAGAGACATTAATATGAACAAGGGCAATCCTGAGCACACTCATTTTGATCGAGTCCAACACCTTCTTCGGACTACCATTTCAGATACATGCATCACAACCACCTCAAGTTAGTGGAAAGCACTTACGAGCTAACTCTAAATTGCTCAGGTATTGTCACATTTGAGATTTTGCGAAAAAAGAAGATTTTGTCCGCCAAATGGACCTGGATTTCATATGCTTCCTTCGAACTGGCTGATTGTAAAATATATCACGGACAACGACTGCAAATAGCAAAACCAAGAATATAGACAACGTAACTGAAACTACTTCATGTGGCTATAAATTGCATATGATAGATGTTTATATAGTACGAAAACAAGGGAGAACAGTCCAAGTCTTATTGCCTTTTGGGCACCTTACTGGTAGACTTGGGATAAATAGTTGAAACACATCAACACGTTTAAAATTTTACATAGGACCAGAGCAGGTTTATTGAGCATAATGAACTTTTGCTTCCACGTGTTTAAGTGCCAGAACGCTCATGTTGTTGCAGTTACACGGGTCTAATAAATAGGTATTCATATAATATTAAACCAAGGGAAAACAATATAAGCATTATATCCTTTGGCCTCGTTTGGTTGGGAAGATTAGCCATTATCAACTAAATAATTGGACTTTCTTTGATGTTTGGTATCCCAAATAACTTGCCAGGTCGGCCAGCAAATATTATGTTATTATAGTTTATCTTGATTCTTAGGCATGTATTTTAGTGGACCTTCCGAGGCCCAATAACACAATTTGGTTTCATTAGATTATTTAATCTTATCTTGGCAACCAATAGAGACCTTTGGGTTTTTTATCCGTGAATTCAGCAGGACAAATGTGAAATGGCTGATCCATGTTTAAATAGTTGATTTCTTCTTCTCCTTTCACTTTCATCGAGATATTTAACATTTAACGAAGAATCTTCAACATATTTTTTGTTTTATTGTTATGTAAGTGTCAGTAAATTTTCATTTTGATACAACATTTAATGAAATTAAACTTACAAGTAAATAATAGCAATCGGAAAAAAAATGAAGTTAGCTATTAACTAATCGTGATGAACATAAGAAGATTACCTGTAGTACCTGCATCTTGTCTATCGTCATTGATTCCAAGAAATAAACACTTACCGTTCTGCAAAGAATAATAAGCTAGTTAACCACATAAACAGTTGCATTAAGGTGGTGTTTGCAAACGCTTTTCCAAAATAATTATGATTTTTTTTTTTGGCTCAAATCAGTTTTTTTTTTAAGCATTAAAAAACTCATAATCACTTTGGAAAAGCATTTGCAAACACCACCTAAATTAGCATTTATAAACTGTAACTATGATAGCTTGATAATCCTTGTACCTTCATTATCTTTCTGTATCCATTTGGCTTTCCACGTGCTTTTGTCACAATCTCCAACGAAGAAATGTCGGATATTGAGCACAGGGCTTCCCCTTGAAAGTCAAAGTTTTCAGTACCACTATCCACTAGAGTTAAGTGGTTAACTTTTGACGTTGCTGTTTGCAGAATAAAGTAAGAAATTGGAATTATATAGGGGTCAGAGGATAAATAACAAATCTTAAGAAGATTAATTAATGGTATGGGCTCAATCCTACATCTTTATGAGAACGTTCTTTAACCAAAATCCAGGGCCAAAATACAGAAACACTAAGGTGCCAATTTTCTGCTATTTTAACTGTGTTGTAAAGATCTTTAAGCACTTTTATATCTCAAAACTGCTATGGGCAGCTTGCAATCATCCTTTCCTAACACTGCAAACTGAAATTTGCAACTATATTTATCTGAAGCAATCAGGCTATGTAGTATATAGCACAACTGATTGGATGAGTACACAGTCTAGAAATGTAAACATATGGAAATATTGCGGGTTACATTCAAATAAACTTAACCTAGTAAATTTCGATGCTTTGTGAAGTGAGAAGTACCAAGTTTCTCTGAAGCACAAAACTTAACCTGAAGCTTGACGCCTAAATGTTTATGATGGAGTCAATTATGGCCATTCTAAAAACTAGTGGAAGTACTCATCAAGAGTGTTTTACATGTATTAACGCATCTAGTCGTTTTTTATCCAAAATGTTGAGCTTTAACTCTTGCATAAAAATTTATGTTCATTCAAATCAAGAAGAAGATAGTACCATTTAAGAGTTATGAACAGATAGCTCATCCATGAAGACCTAATGAGAACTACTAATGGATCATGATCCAGGTCTGAGGAAAGAATAAAAATAGCATGCAAGCAACCTATATTGCGTCAATGTATAAAGATTTGCTAGATCACGCAACTCGCAGCTAAGAACAGTTAATACCTAAAAAAATTGGCCTATGATTTTTATTTCATTTGAGCTGCATGTTCATACTCATCATGTACCAAATCATCCTAATGTAATCAAGATAAGCTGGTAATCATATCTCTATCCAAATACCAAGTACTGTACAAATCACACTATACACATTCAGTGGAAAATAGAATCTTAAGTAGAGAGATTGACAATGATATACTGATATTTAAATGCATTCTACCTGCAACCAATCATGATTCAAGTGTTAACAATGTTTCAAATAATTACTTAGGATCAATTTCACTTCATTCGACAACCCCCAACTGTGTAATGGTATATTAGTTTCCTCATTAATCATAACACACAAGTATATCCGATTAACTCACCAACATATTCACATACAATATGAATTTGGTCATTCATAAGCATCATTGCATAGAACAATCTGTTCATTTGCTAAATGTCAATCTTGTTCGCAGATGCGAAGTTACTTTTGTAATTTTACAGATGCACGAACCAACACGAATGAGAAAGTTATATCTGTAAGACATTACCATATCGCTCTCCCACCAAAACCAGTTCATCCCGTGTAATACCAGATCCTGCAAAGAGATATAGATCAACAAAAGTGACAGAATTGCTAACAGTTGGGTGGAGAAGAAGGGAAAGATAGCCATATTTATCTTGTAGGAGTGGACTAACAAATTTATTTGAAAATAGAAATAATACAATTAATTGAGCACTCTATATATACTCATCACTTTTACCTGTTGGAATAAAGAGATTTCTAGTCTCCATTCCCTTCGTTTCCCAGACCTAGCCCTTACATTAAATGGAGCAGAAAACGAAATGGAACTTACCGTTATCCAGCACTTTAACATAGCAGCTACCAACGCCAACAGCCACAGAAACCTAGTAGGCCAACTGGAGTTAGATTTTAGCGTAAAACGTTTCTTAGGGGATGATAACATTATTATGAGAGCCTAATCACAGAATTGCAGTTGCAGTGGCACTTTTATAATGTCCTACCAGAATTCTTATTTCCATATTATTATCCCGATGGTTTAGTGGCCACTGTGCTATACATATACATGTATGCGGTATGCAGAGATGGGAGGGAGCAGGGCATAACGAACACAGTCTTGCCTCTCTCTTTTCTATTAAGGAACTTGTTTATGATCCTAAAGGAACCCCAGTTTCATCCTAACCAACATTTTGTTGTGGAATAACAATAGCCAACTCAGTTTTCTAGTCGACCAATTTTATCGACCCACATAGAAATACACAAACAATCGAAATTTCCCATTACAAGCAATTTCTATTCTGACCAAAAAAAAAAAATGAGGAAATAAAAAATATAAGAAACAAGATCTCAACTGCAATTATTTTACCCATATCTGGCACTTTTCACCCTAACAGAAAATCAATAAAACTTTCCAGACATACAAACATGATACTTGCAACAAAACTTACCTTTGTAGCACCTGAATCAATGCTGTTGAAAACAAGCTCATCAACAATCCGCGTCAAATCACATATTACAACCCCAGAACGCACAGAGCTGCGGATGGCTTCAGGCAAACGTTCAATGCTCTTCATCTAACAATTCCCAAAGAGAATAATCGAACACATTGACATTTTCAGAGTAAATTGAAAAATTGCAAGGCAGTAGTATGTATATGCTTTCTGTCATGGCTGAATCTTCCGACTAATCATGAATTATTACAAAACCCCAATCGCAAATATTTGGAAACAGAGAATCGTACCTGGGTAGGCTGCTCATTCGTTGAGTCCAAAAGAACACGAATCGTGTGAACTGTAGGAGAATCAAACGGGGGTTGTGGGTTTTAATTTTGATTCTGGAAGGGAAGGGAAGAGCAGTAAAAGCCGAACCCAAGGAAGGGTTCAAGGTTTGATTTTCAAAAATGAAAAATGGCGGTTGGGTGCGCGCGTGGTGAGTCAAATCGGCTTCCGCGATGCAACACCGGTTTATTGGGTCGCGTGGGTGGGTCTCTTTATGGCACGTGTCTTTCTTTAGTTCAGTTTCAATTCATTATGTAATTTAATTGTATTTATCCTTTTGAAAATGGAACTATTAACCATTTTTGTCATAACCGGACCGGTTGAAAATGGAGCAAAACTGTCGGCTCGACCGAAAAAACTGGAAACCGGTGGAAGACCCCGGTTTTTATCCAAAACGTTGTTTTGGTAGCTGTGGATGGCCGGATTTGGGCTATAAAGACTGATGACAGCCGGATCATGTCGATAAAGACCGATGAATGTCATGGGCAAAACTGGATCTAGTCTCTATGTCGCCGAAAATGGAGAGAAAGGGGTATGCTTGTGAAGGTAGAGAGGGAAATTGTGAAAGGAGGCTGGGAGAGAAAGAATGAGGTGGTTGTGGCTAGACATGACTACGGTTCGATTCCGATTCCGGTTCCAATTTTGGAGTAATCGAAACCGAACCGAACCGAATATTTCAAGTTCTTTGTGGTTCGGTTATTTATGGTTCCCGATTCGGTTTCGTTCGATTCCCAATAGAACCGGCCGGTTCTGACTATATATATATATATATATTTTTTTTTTTTATATATAACTTTAAAAAATAGTTAATTTAAAAAAAAAAAAAAAAGAGTGGAAACTGGAAAGAATACTTTGACGACTTAAAAAAATTATTTTTTTTATAAAATACTTAAAAAAATAATTTTTTTACCTTTCATTTTTTTTAAGGAATTAGTTTTAGTTTTAAAATTTAAAAAAGGAAAAGGAAAAAAATTGAAAGGGCTTGCACTTAAATTTTGTATTGTTATTTTTTTGAAAATCCGACCGTTTGGAGCTGCCACCGTGGAATTTCATTATTATTATTTTTTATTTTTTTTAATCTGACCGTTTAAATAATTTAATTTAAAAAAAAAAAAATCGGTTCGAACTGTTAGAACACGGTTCTAACCGTCAGTTCTCGGTTCAAAAATGGGGAACCGAAATCGAACCGGTTTTCTCGGTTCTGGTTCCGATTCTGGTCAAACCGGTTCCGGTTCGGTTCGAAAACCGTTGACCCCAGTTCGATTTCGGTTCTAACCGAACCGGTGGTCATATCTAGGTTGTGGTTGCTGTTGAAGAATATTTCACATATGAGAGAGAGAGAGAGGTGGGTATAGTTAAATAAGAAAAAATTGTAATTAGTAAATAAAATTATAATAAATAAGGTGGAGACTAAGTGAAGTTAAGTAAAATAATATACATAAATAGAGAAAATAATATTTTTTTAGTGAGGAAGTTGAGCGCAGTATAAAAAATAAATAGAAAAAATAGTATGTTTAAAGTAATAAAATAAATAAAATTAAAAAGGAAAAAACCTGGGTTTACCCCGGTTCAACCGGTCCGGTTTTGTATCCAGTCTTGTTCTGACAACATTGCTAGTAACGTAACTCACCTGTGCGATATACGGGGATATATTAGTTCATTTTTTTTAATGACTAAAACACGTCGATGATGTAAATCAAACACCTTTGTAAATGAAAAGAGGATTCTAATGCTATGCATGGGGTAATATAAAAAATAAAAAATATGTTTTAGATAAAATAATCGAACGAAAGCTTTGAATAGTTGATATATAATACGATATAAGTCAATTTTTTTTAAACAATATCAGTTCCATTTGATTTAAGTACCCAGATAAACAAAATAGATGATAAAAGAAAATATGAAATCCGAAAATTTGTGATATAAAAAATAAGATACATTATCTAACCCATATAGTACAACTATCGCGTCCAATACAATCGGATCCTTAACAGGAAACCTAATTATCAAAGTAGTATTTTACAGCACACGCATTGACATCACCTATAGCTCATCTAATACCTTGCAAGTAATATGCAAATTTTTCATTGTTTAAATGCAATAAGTGATACACATTACTGAAACACAAATCACCTATAACAAATAAATACAATTTATATTAAATTACCTTGATTTAAAAAAAAAAACCCCAGTGGAGTCGACAATAAAATTAGCATAAAGCGCAAATAAACTTAACACGACAAAATAAATATACATATAAATAATACAACAGCAAATGTTATTTGAATCACAATTTACAATTTTTATGACGTACATTCATATTCCCTGACAAACTTCCTTTTAGACAACATTGCAAGTAGTATTGGTTGTCTATTCCGGCTTGATGACCCCAAAAAAATACTAATCTTTATATGTAAAAGAAAGAAACGTTAGGTCAGCCTAAGAAACTCTAGTGATATATGTATATATATTATTTTGCAACCATGTTTTTCTAATTACTTTTACGTCTATATCTGGACTAGTATAATCATAATCCACTATCTC